GACACAATTCCAAGATGCAACAGATGACATTTCTCAGACAATTTTCTCTGCCTTTTATTCCCCACTTGTACCTGCTCTTAATTATAAAAAAACAAACAAACAAACAAACAAAAACTATTTTCTAATCTAAAGGCCAAAAAGATCATCAAAATAAAAGTCATAAAATGGGTTTTCAGGGACTAGCAGTTAGCATGATGGCTATGTTGCTGGACTCTCATGTAATTGACCGCAGTGGCACTCCTGGACCCGGTGGCTTAAAACTCACGCCGGGCACGTGTGTGTGCGTGCCCAAGATCCCGAGAGGAGAATGGAGGAGAAGGGATTGCGGTGTGGCTATCCCCCCTGGGGGGTCATTTCTCACTTTCTGTCTCTCTGTCTCTCTCTCTCTCTGTCTTTCTGGCAAGCGCACGCGCCCTATAGCAAAAACCTCTCTAAAAACCAAATGGGTTTTCAACATCAGGCATCTCTTCTTTCTGATATTTTCCTTTGGCTCATGCAGCATCCATTCTTGTCAGATAAAAGAGGGGTGGGGGTAAGGGGACACATAAAATCTGTTGGAGAGTTAGAAAACAATCTCTGAGTCCAAATAAAACAACTGTATTTCATGGTTCATTTTCAGATCTGTGGGCTTTCAGATAAGAGGGTCACCTCATTTTGCTATATGTCAAGTTGCCCAGCTTCTTGCAGAGCTTAGAGATTAGGGTCACATGCTATCATGGGACAAGCCAAAAAAAAAAAAAAAAATCAAGAGACCCCAGCTCTAGTGAACAGCAGATGAGCAGATGGTGTAATGGTTATGTCACTGGATTCCCACATAGTCAACCACAGTTTGAGTCTCAGACCCAGCAGCCTAAAACACATGCCAGGCACATGCGCGTCCATGCCCAAAATCCTGAGAGGAAACTGGAGGAGGAGGGATTGTGGTATGGTCATCACTCTAGGGGGGCAGAAGGGTTCTCACTTTCTGTCTCTCTGGAGAGCGCACGCACCCTATAGCAAAAATCCCTCTAAAAGAAAATACAAACGCGACCTCAGCTGCAGTTCTGTTCTTTCACTTTCTAGTTGAGTGCCCTCAAACAACTCATTCTGCCATTTCCGGGCTGCTCCCAGCCTGTGCCAGCTAAACTAGAGCTCCTTTAGTCACACTGCGCAAACTGGCAGGGTGCTACCGGACATACTCCACATGAGTGTCTTGCTAGGCCCACTGAGTATTTTTTAAAATGGTAAATATTATGGGACCAGCAGATGACATACTTGTTAAGTCACTGGACTCCCACATAGTCAACCACAGTTCGAGTCCCAGATCCGGTAGCTTAAAACTCACACAGGGCACATGTATGTGTGCCCAAAATCCTAGAGGAGAATGGTAGAGAAGGGATAGCAGTGTGGCCATCCCCTCTGGGAGGATAATTTCTTGCTTTCTGCTCTCTGTTTCTCTTTGTCCTTCTGGTGAGCACATGCACCCTATAGCAAAAATCTCTCTTTAAAAAATGGTAAATATTAAATAAAAATCCAAATTTCCAAATCCTCTTGAAAAATATAAAAGTGGGCAACAGTGAACCAGCATTCCCATACGGAAGTTGAGTAAGTCTGCTCACTCTAGGGAGGGCATGCACTTCACGGTCTACCACAGTCCTCACCTCTCTCTGTTGTCTTACACAAGCGCTGTCTTAGTCATTTACATGAGCTCCTGGCCAAAACAGGCATGTGGTGTTTCTGGCCTGTCTTCACCATTTACCTGCTGTGATGGCAGGATCTTGCCATCCCGCCAACCTCTTCTGGATCTGATTTTCCAGTTATTCTATGATGTGAGGCAAAAATTAGAAGTATTTCTCCAGATGTCCTTAATATTTTTAAAATATATGTAACTTTATTTGTTAGCATTATTTTCCAATTTTACAGAGAGAGAGAGAGAGAAGGAAAGTGAGAAAGCAAGCTGCCTGGTCCAGGACTCAAACTCCAGTGAGCCATGTAGGAGTCCAGTGCCTTTAACCACCACACCACCTGCTGGTCCACAGATGTCCCTAATATTAAAAAGCCCACATCCCGGGACCAGCAGTTAGTGTAATGGCTATGTCGCTGGACTCTCATGTGGTTGACCGTGGTTCGAGTCCTGGACCTGGTGGCTTAAAACTCACTCTGGGCGTGTGTGTGAGCGTCCAAGACCCAAAGAGGAGAAGGGAGAAGAAGGGATTGTGGCGTAGCCATACTCCCTGGGGGGTGATTTCTCGCTTTCTGTCTCTCTGTCTGGCGAGCGCAAGCACCCTATGGCAAAAACCTCTCCAAAAACAAACAAAAACAAAACAAACAAAAAAACCCACATCATATTGTTGGCTCACAGTGAGCTTGTGAGCAATTAAAATTTCAGGTCTCCTTTACATGAAGCTGGCTGCCAGTGGGCTGCCCTGGCCTGGAATTTATTTTCTTTTTTTCTGACTAGCAGAGAGTAAATGCACTCACCAGAGAGAGAGAGAGAGAGAGAGAGAAAGAGAGAGAGAGAGAGAGGATATCCCACAGTGGGGTATAGTCATGCTACGGTTCTTTTTTCTCCATTTCTCCACCCCATCAGGATTTGCAGCATACATGTACCTGTGCCCTGCATGCTTTTCAAGCCACGGCTGGAATTCACATCTCAGTCAGCCATGTGAGATCTGTGTCCCTATGCAGAGGGTTTAATCATCATGCTATATGGGCCTGCTCCTGCCTGTAATTTTTTTAAATGAGAATGTATAAATGAGACCTGGGAACCAGCAGTTAGCGTAATGGCTATGTTGCTGAACTCCCACGTAGTCAACCGCAGTTCCCGTCCTGGACCTGGTGGCTTAAAACTCACACTGGGCGCATGTGCGTGCGTGCCCAAGATCCCGAGAGGAGAATGGAGGAGAAAGGATTGCGGTGTGACCATCACCCCTGGGGGGTGATTTCTTGCTTTCTGTCTCTAATGTCTCTCTCTGTCTGTCTGGTGAGCGCACGCACCCTATAGTGAAAATCTCTCCAAAAAAAAAAAAAAGGAATGTATAAATCAGGCCTAAATTTCTATATTTCTCATAGGGATTTTGTAATAATCAAATATACCATAGTATGAAATCTTCAAAATCTTTGCAATTAATCTCTTCACAACTTCAGAATACCTTATTATTTAAATATACAGACTGTACACTAACAGGGAGAATGTCTGTCAGTAAATGTAGCTTGTGATTTTTATATTTACATATTTTGTTTTTTAAGAAAAGCTGATGGTGTAGTAGTTAAGGTGACTGATCGCACATGGCTGACTGCATGGTTTGAGTCCCAGACCTGGCGGCTAGAAAAAAAAACACACACAAGGCACATATGTACGCATGCCCAAATCCCGAGAGAAGAATGGAGGAAAGGGGGTGTGGCATGGCCATCCCTCCCCCAGGGGGTGATTTCTCATTTTCTCTCTCCCTCTCTCTAGTGAGCTCACACACTCCATAGCAAACTAAAAAATAAAATAAAATAATAAATAAATACATAAAACTTCTTAAAATATGCTATTTTAAAGTATGTTAAAAATAATAATGACAGGGCCAGCAGGTGGCGTGGTGGTTAAAGGCTCTGGATTCCCACATGGCCAACTGCAGTTCAAGTCCTGGACCTGATAGCTTGCTTTCTCATATTCCCTTTCTCTCTCTCCCTCTCTTTCTCTTTGTCTTTCTTGTCAAATTTTAAAAAATAATAATAAATAAATTAGACTTTTTAAAAATCAAGTATTAGCTTACTGAGAGGTACCTTAACAGTAGTACACTTTAATCAAAAATGATCTATAGACCCAATTAGGCAGCATAGGTGGTAGAGTGCCAAACTGCCAAGCTAGAAGCCACATGGTGACTGAGATTCAAATCCCAGGCCCAGACAGCCTGAAAAACACCCAAGATCTAACAGGACTGAAGGAAGGGGCCACAGAGTGACCAAACCTTGTAGAAGGTTCTCCCCTCCCCACCCCCCCCATGCACACACACTCTATCATGAATACAAGTTTTATTTAAACAATTACCTCAGGTCAACCCTATACCAAAGTGGTAACTTGCTATGCACTGGGAGATAGATCTCACACGGCCAAATGCAGTTTCACTCCTGGTCCTGGTGGCTTGAAAGACTTACCGGGAGCATGTGCGTGCATGCCCCAAATCCGAAGAGATGGAGAAATAGAGGAGAAGGAATTGCAGTATAACCACACTTCACTCATTGGGGGCTTGGCTGAGGGGCTCTGTCTCTCTCAAACACACATGGCCTCTGGCAATTTAAATGAATGAATAAATAAATACCTACAAAACTACATCACCCACTCTTTTTTATTTTTTAATCTCTTTTTTTAAGTTTTTGTTTGTTTGTTTTGTTTTGTTTTTAATTTTCTAGAGAGTACATGCACTCACCAGAGAGAGAGAGAGAAGGAAAGGAAGAAAGCAAAGCGCTAGGTCTGAGACTCGCACCACGGTCTGTCATGAGGGAGTCCAGTGCCTTAACCACCATGTCACCTGCTGGTTCCTCACCCACTCTTTATATGCTTTATCAACCAAGGTGACACTTTGTCTTACTACATGCAGAGTGAGATATGTTTCACTTGAACTTGATTTCCCCATTCTGCATATAAATGAGAGGATCCCAAGGACTTGGACAGCCCTCTTGTTCACAAAATGTACTTAAATCATATCACCAGTTTTGAATCCTTTCCTTAGAGTTGATATTTTTGTATTTTTTGTAACTCATGTCAGGAATAAGTGGCTGTGAAACACTTGTAGAATTTATTGTTTACAAAAGTGATCCACAACCATTTATTGCTAATATAAAGATATTTTTAAAAAATGTAAACATACCAAAAAAAATTAGGATGGCAGATGCACATTAAAATGCAAAACAGAAAACACAACCCAGCCAAGCCCCCAAGCCATTGGTGGGAGAAACAGCGTTGATATCACTGTGTTCGCTCTCTCTCTTTTTTTTTCTCCTCTCATGCCTTTCTCTCTTTTGTGTTTAAGATTGGAGCACAGTGCTACTTGGAATGCTCGGCCCTGACACAAAAAGGTCTCAAGGCAGTCTTTGATGAAGCAATCCTCACCATTTTTCACCCCAAGAAAAAGAAGAGGCACTGCTCTGAGTGTCACAACTGCTGTTCAATTATCTGAGGTTGCTTGACACCCGCTTCCATCCCATCTACTGGTGACAACAGCAACCGATCTCTGCCACCAATCTCTAGCCAAAAAAGAGGGCATGACCAGAAAGGAGCTCCCTTCATGCAGAGGCTCACACCTCCACCCCGTGAGCCCTCCCAAGCCCAGCATATGATTCGACTGCCACGTCCCCCTGCCAGCCAGAAGCATCCACGTTGCACCTCTAAGAGCATGCTGGGCCTGGGTTTCAGACCATGCCGCTGCTGCATGTGTTGGAAACAAAGGCGAAGGCCACCCTGCACTTCACACCCACTCCGTGAACCTGAGGCTGAAAAGTCATCACAGAAACCCAAAACCTGGAACCTCAATTCCTGGATGAGTGGTCTTACCTGATGTCTTTTACAAAACCTGGGAATACAATACCCACCATTTTGTTTTCCTGAATCTGCTGTTCTAACCATGTATATTCATTTGTATGTTTTCAAGACATTTTCTAATCTTCAGTTCACTCAAGCCTTACAAATCTATGCCAAACTAGCCTAAGGGCAAGGTATTTTATGTTCGTTTCTCTTTTCAGCATGTTTCTACCAAAGCTATTAGAATCAACATATACCTCTGAATTCCTGATTACAGAAAACATTTGAACTTTTGGAAATTTACAGAGCCGTGATTTTTTTTAACCTGGCTGAAAGAAAGCACCATCTGCATTGTTGCCGTCTGCATTTGTGCCAAAGACTCACCTACACATGCTTAAGTAGCGAGGTGGCCTGTTTTTTTCCCATATTATGTGCCATAGAAAACTGCAAATGGACTGACTCTAAGAAAGGAGTACTTTTGCTTTTCATCCAATTTGGTTTAGGGCAGAATATAGCAGGACCCACCTTCTGAAATACCCTTCACTCAGCAAAGTGGGCTGTCCTGTTCCATCTCTTCCCTGTTGCCAGCGCTTTTCTTCCCTTTCTTCCAGGTTTCCACTCCTCTTTACTCTCCTCAGTCATAACCTGACCTTGAAGAAGGATCTGGCCATTGGGCATAAAAAAACACGTGTTTAAAAATCCCCAAAGGTCAAGCAAAGTGCCTCAGTTTTTCTGCCTTTGAAAATGCTTCTCACTTTGCCCCAAATGCATGCCCATTCCATGTACATGGCATTTCCCTTTCATAATTTGTACAAAGATACTACATCTCCCTGTTTCCTATATTCATCCTTTCAAATACATTTGTAGGGGTTAGATCTTTGGGTGCCAAGCTCTGGATCCTTTTGTTTCCTGCCTTCCAGAATGATGTTCTACACGAGAGACCTTGTCCTTGGGGAAGTAAAAGCTCCCAGTCAGGAATCGCGTGCCCTTTCTATACACAGTTCCAAACATCCAGGAGTATCTTGTAGCATAGAGTGCATTACTCGCTACCTTTTAATTAGAGGCTATGAAGGCTTCTAATTAGTCTTCCTTGCTTAAAAGTGCCCTGGAATCACCTTGATAGGCACTTCATTTTTTTTATTTTACTTGCATAAGCAAAGTTCATTTTTGCAGCATGAAATTCCATCAATTTTAGTTTACAACTTTCCAAATTCAAACTTCCTCTACTGGAAAAAAAGCCATTCTTTCCAATCTTTTCTGCTTCTAGAGGAAGCACTAGGAAACAATCATGTGAGGGGACCAGCCGATGGTGTAATGGTTACATTGCTGGACTCCCATATAGTCAATTGCAGTTCAAGTGTCAGACCCAGCGGCTTAAAACTTACGCCAGGCTCATGTACATGTGTGTCCAAAATCCCAAGAGGAGAGTGGAGAAGGGATTGCAGTGAGGCCATCCCCCACAAGGGGTGATTTCTCGCTTTCTGTCTCTCTATCTCTCTTTGTCTCCCCAGTGAGCACACACACCCTATAGCAAAAATCTCTCTTTTTTTTAAAAAAAAAAAAAGAATAATGTTCATGGATCATGGATCTTTTCTATTCAGACCTCCCAGGACAGCCCCTCAATGGGGTGGGGGCTATTTGTTTAGAAATATGTCTTCCATTCTTCCGCGTTTTAAATACTATTTCCCCTCTGTCCCATTAATTGCTAGACACTTTCTTAAATACACATACACACACACATACACCACCTAAAAGAAAACGGGAGTTTTGTTAGTCAAAGCTTGACATTTAGAGAAAACAAGAACCTTTCTGTGTTTGTAAGTAGAAATCAACTATGAACTATAACTCCTCAGAGGTTATAAATTTATCTTTTACAAACAATAATGAGCATTTAGCCCTGTAATAAAGGAAGTTCCATTAGCCGGTTTTGTTATATTATTACATGGTCACATCTTGCTAATGGGCTACTTCCCACTTCTCATTGATGTGGGTGAAAAATTGAAAGCATTATGTTTGCTCCACCAAGGAGAATCTTCCAGACGTGTGCACTCAATAGGCAAATAGCACCCCAGTTCATCACCTCCCTAATGGGCCATGGGGATTAACTTGCTCACAGTGAGAAAATCACTGCTTGGCCTGGAACTGGAACCTGAAGAGAAACTGTTAGTGTCTGGATGGAGCACAGGCTCCAGAGGTAATCACTAAATAAAATATAGAACCAAGCAGACTAAATGAGTGAATGTAATTCCACTAAGTTCATCTTTCATTCTCTGTTTCATGGCCAGATCTAGTTCATTTTTCTAAAAAGATTTTTCTGCTGTGAGATTGAATAAAACTATGTCCTAAAACCAAAGAAGAGACAGAAATGTGAAGGTGGTTCACAGCCTATTCTGAAGTCAAGCAGTGACAGCTGATCTTCATTTGAGAGTAGCGTCTTCCATGTTCAGAGCTAGAAACAGCCCCAGAAACTACAGTCCAATCCTTTGTACAAACAAGAAACTCAGGACTAAATGGGTTAAGAAAAGTATGTTCTGGCAGAGCTGGGAGAGATCTCAGTTTTTCTGCTTCTCATCCAGAGCCCTTTAGCTCCATTGTGTAATTGATTCCTTCTTACAAATATTAAGTGGGGATTTTACAGGCAGTTATTGGAGCTGCATCTCTTTATCTTCTACATCTCAAACACAACGTCAAATGGGCACGCTATTATAAATAAGGCGGTCTATCAAACTAGTAATAAGCTAGACTTAAAAACTTGATCTATACCCTATTATGCCTGGTCTCTACTGTATAAGCACTATAATCCCAATTGAATGACTTAAATAAGTAACTAGTTTGACATATTTTTCTTTTTAGTAGATGGTTAGTTGTTCGGTAGAATTAACAGACTCCTTGAGCCACTTTCAAAACACAAAAAAACACTAAGATACGAGTCAAAGTCATTTCCACAGTAAGAAACCTGGCCTGATTTTTGCCAAGAAAAGTTGTACTCAAAGCACAATTACTATGTGCTTGAGCTTTTCAAGACAGTTCGATGGTGCTTGCTGACTGTCTCCGTGTCATCAGGTACAGAAATAAACTCCCTTCATCTCTTAAAAGAAAAAAAAAAATTACTGAAGGAAATAGCTATAGAAACTCTAAATCAGGAAGAGATAAGCTAGAAAGTCAAAAACTAAGTCACACATATGACAGAAAAGGAGAGGCTGGTCCAGGGACTTCAATGACAATATATCTGATCATGATATGCAAAGAGTCATTTGAAATATTTCTGGTCCATAAATGAAGTACTAAATGAAATGGATATAACCCTACATAATTTTCAATAAGAAAGACCACTAATAAGAAATAGTATTAAAATGATAGTATATATGAGACCAGCAGGTAGCATGGTGGTTCAGACACTGGATTCCCACATGGCCAATTGTGGTGCAAGTCCTGGACCCAGCAACCTGATAAATCACAAGTAAGTATATCAATAAATGCTTTGTTTGTTTTGGTTTGGTTTGGTTTTTTGTTTGTTTGTTTGTTTTACAAATGGTAGTAAAAGAGCAATCACAAAAGAGACAGAAATGTGAAGGTGGTTCACAGCCTATTCTGAAGTCAAGCAGTGACAGCTGATCTTCATTTGAGAGTAGCGTCTTCCATGTTCAGAGCTAGAAACAGCCCCAGAAACTACAGTCCAATCCTTTGTACAAACAAGAAACTCAGGACTAAATGGGTTAAGAAAAGTATGTTCTGGCAGAGCTGGGAGAGATCTCAGTTTTTCTGCTTCTCATCCAGAGCCCTTTAGCTCCATTGTGTAATTGATTCCTTCTTACAAATATTAAGTGGGGATTTTACAGGCAGTTATTGGAGCTGCATCTCTTTATCTTCTACATCTCAAACACAACGTCAAATGGGCACGCTATTATAAATAAGGCGGTCTATCAAACTAGTAATAAGCTAGACTTAAAAACTTGATCTATACCCTATTATGCCTGGTCTCTACTGTATAAGCACTATAATCCCAATTGAATGACTTAAATAAGTAACTAGTTTGACATATTTTTCTTTTTAGTAGATGGTTAGTTGTTCGGTAGAATTAACAGACTCCTTGAGCCACTTTCAAAACACAAAAAAACACTAAGATACGAGTCAAAGTCATTTCCACAGTAAGAAACCTGGCCTGATTTTTGCCAAGAAAAGTTGTACTCAAAGCACAATTACTATGTGCTTGAGCTTTTCAAGACAGTTCGATGGTGCTTGCTGACTGTCTCCGTGTCATCAGGTACAGAAATAAACTCCCTTCATCTCTTAAAAGAAAAAAAAAAATTACTGAAGGAAATAGCTATAGAAACTCTAAATCAGGAAGAGATAAGCTAGAAAGTCAAAAACTAAGTCACACATATGACAGAAAAGGAGAGGCTGGTCCAGGGACTTCAATGACAATATATCTGATCATGATATGCAAAGAGTCATTTGAAATATTTCTGGTCCATAAATGAAGTACTAAATGAAATGGATATAACCCTACATAATTTTCAATAAGAAAGACCACTAATAAGAAATAGTATTAAAATGATAGTATATATGAGACCAGCAGGTAGCATGGTGGTTCAGACACTGGATTCCCACATGGCCAATTGTGGTGCAAGTCCTGGACCCAGCAACCTGATAAATCACAAGTAAGTATATCAATAAATGCTTTGTTTGTTTTGGTTTGGTTTGGTTTTTTGTTTGTTTGTTTGTTTTACAAATGGTAGTAAAAGAGCAATCACAAGTATACTCACAATTTTAGGAGAAAATAAAACTAAATCTACAATTTGCAGCCAACAAAAATGCCTTTATTTAGGGTATAAATTTCTGTGAGCAGTAACTTTACAAAGTAAGCATCTTCAAGAACTATTTGGCTTGAGCTAAACCTTTCAATTAACCACATTACATTCATGAAGGTAAATCCATCCATGAGATCAAGTAATACAAGATTAGAAATTGAAATTTGCTTTAAAGGAATGATTGACACCATGCTGGAGATTATTATTATCTCACTGATTATGTGTTCATTTTTAAATCCATCCCTATATTTAGCTGCCACAATGGAAAATGTGCATTTTCTCTTAACAGAGTGAACTGTATCACCAGCTATTCTCCTAAGTCTCATTGACTAAGCTGCCCAGGTACAAATAAGAAAACTCAATGAAATATTTTCAAAGACCATTAGAAACAGGAAAAGAGAAGGTCAGGGAAACTGAGTTTCATACAAAGGAAGGTAGGCACTTTAAAAAAGGAAACATTTAGAGAATGGAGAGGAAGTGGAAACCAAACAC